ATCATCATCATCATCATCTCCATCACCATCATCATCTCCATCATCATCTCCATCATCATAATCATCTCTATCATAATTATCATAATCATCATCATCTCCATCATCATCATCATCATCATCATCATCATCATCATCATCATCATCATCATCATCATCATCATCATCATCATCATCATCATCATCATCATCATCATCTCCATCATCTCCATCATCATCATAATCATCATCATCTCCATCATCACAAAGATGGAAAGCGAACAACCCGTCTGACCTATCTCTTCTTCTGTACTCGACTCCCAAGGTCCCTTCCGCTGCTTTTTCTTCCTTTCTTTCTGGATCGATTGCTCTGTTATCATTCGCCCCGTGAAAACTTCTTTCTTCTCCTCCTTTGCAGGTGCATCAGATTCATCCTTCTCTTCATCTTCATCTTCATCTTCATCTTCATCTTCATCTTCATCATCGTCATCTGGAACATACTTCCCCGAGCTCAGATCTTCTGCATTCCGCAGCTCTTCCGACAGGTCAAACTCGTCCATACCATCCAGCTCTTCCTTGGCTACATGCTCTGCTTGAGCAGAGGCGAACGCCGACGGCCCTCCCTTCCTCCTCCTTGCAAGGGTCCGCACCAAATTGGCTCCTCCTAACCCTGCGCGGGTCGACTCGATGGAAGAAAACTTCTTGCTGCTCATCCTGGAGGCCCTTCCCCCTCGTAGATGGAGAACGGCTTCTACAGCCGATCCCAACTGCGAGCATGCTACCCGCTGCTGCTCGACGACACATGTTGAGCTCAGGAACAAGGCTATCAATGCCAGATGCCGAATGGCGCTCATGGATACGTTTCGACCCACTAGTCGTCTAGCATGCTCCTTTCCTCCTTGCGATCAGAGCCAAAGAGGGAGCAGCATGGCCTTGTCCCACGACGTGAAAGGCGACGAGACGTTTCCCTCCTCCTACAGCAATCTGTAAGTCAGACGGGCTGCTCACACCTTGCAAGGGACATCTGCATCCCTTTTAAGCTGCTCTGCCCTGCAACAAGTTGATCTTTGCCTGCCTTTCCTCGTCCTCGTCCTCACCTTATCCTTCCTTCCTTGATCCTCTTTATCCCCCTCGTATCATCAGCATCATCATTACCGCTGTCATTGTCGTCTTCATCGCTTCTATCTCTCCTGATTCTGCTCCTCCTGCCCCCCTGCTGCTGCTGTATCTCCTCCTCAGCCATCCTTCTGCCCCCGCCCTCCAGTAGCAGCACAC